TTTACAAACTATCACCTACAAAATAGTCCCCTTGCACAGCAACACAGTGATCCCAGAGTCCCTGCCACTTCTGGAATGTGTCCTGGAAGTCTTCTTCTCATTGCGTGTCAAGCACCTTCTGCCATTCGCACCGGATCTCCACAATGTTGGCAAAACGGCAACCTTTGAGCTGGATCTTCATCTTCGAGAAGAGGGTGAAGCCCGCAGGAGCCAAATCTGGAGAGTAGGGTGGGTGTGGAAGTGAGATCATTGCAGCCTGGGGACAAACTTGGCAGCAACACGAAGCATGTACAAATCACATGTGAGTGCTGGGACTGTTCAGTATGACACACTGACAATGGCAGCAATGTTGTGGATTGTTCTCCAATGATCATCATGCACAAGTTGCCGAATTATTTTGACATTTCGACATTTTCGGGGGGTGAGGTCGCTGAAGGTCTTCCTGATCTCTCTTTGTCTTCCAGTGATGTTCTTCCACTCTTGAAGCACGCGTGCCACTCAAAACACCTCGAACAACTCATTGCACCATCGCCGTAAACATGCTGAATCAGAATTTCGTGAAACTGGGCATGAAATTCGCCCAGAATTTGCTCTTCATTCCAACTTGCTGTCCATGATGAAATAACAGACGTGGTAACGCACGTGGTCAGAATACCACCAGTTGCACAGCTCCCAATATACACAGGACAATGTCTTTTGGCACACTGACTTATGAAGGTCAGTGCTCCCTGTGACTGTGCGTGCAGCCTTGTGCTGCCATCTGTTGGTGTGTTACAAAACTAGTCTTAAAACTTTTTGATACCACCTTGTATATGTATGCTGCTATGCATTTATATATTTCATTTTTTTTAAAAGCAAATGCTGTTAGTATCTGAATTTGACTTGCAATCAGCCTCTTGCATTCCCTTGTACAGCAGAGCTCAGACTGGGAGAGGGAGAGAAAAATTGTAGGATACACTGCTTCTGAGCCCTGAATAGGGCCACTCTTATGGAAGCTCTGAACATTAGGGGCTTGGCCTATGCTCCATAGGCTGCTCAAATCCAAAGGAAAAGACTGGCTCTGAAACATATTCAAATGCTGGTAACACTGGTAAATTATCTGGACAACATGAACAGATAGTCTCTGCCTGGGTTCCTCCTGTGCCAGTCAGGGTGTTGGGCATACAAATATGTTGACAGGAAATATCCTGATAGGAAGAGAGAGCAGAGTGAGTGCAGAGATGACCTCATCAGTCTGCTGCTGCTCCCCTCCATTCAGTCAGTAGGCTAGGGCTGAAGTGAGGACACCATTGTATTCCTTAAAGTGGAATGATAGGCATACTGTAAATACTTACCTCACCGGTTCAGCATCCCTCACCAATGTTGGCATCTTCTTCTGGATGCCGGTCTTTGGCCGCCTTGATTGGCCGGCACATGTGTGGGAGTCATTCATCCCTGCATACTAGAACTGTGTGGGAAATGTAAATGGAGCTGTGCACAGTTCTGGGGAGGATTGTGCACAGGCAGGTAAGTGTATTTTATTGCAGAGGAGATATTACCTGTCTCTTTTGCAATAAAGAGCCTGCATGTTCGCAATTTTCTATTTTCCTGAGTTCAGTTTTGCTGTAAGTGCAAGCAGGGCTATGGATAAGGGGGTACCACCAGTCCTCCTGTACGAGGCCCAGGCCAACAGGGGGGCCCAGGCAGCTGGGTGAATTGGAGGTGGGCAGAGAGGGTGATCGTGGCGGGGGGGGGGGAGCAGTTGGGCAATTGCTGGAACCAATCCCTTGTATGGCTCTCTCTGCAGAAGCTGAAAGCTGGCTTCTTCTCCTCTTCCTCTCTCTGGCTTTCAGTTGCTGCAGAGTAAGCCATACATGGGATTGGATCCACTAATTAAAATAATATAAACACTCAAATCATATAGTGTTGTAGTGGCGCTAAATAAATAATAATAAAATATGAAGGGAAGCACAGTGGCTAAATGGTTAGCACTTCCCCCTGGCAGTACTAGGGTCGTTGGTTTGAATCCCAGCCACGGCACCACCTGCCTGGAGTTTGCATGTTTTCCCTGTGCCTGTGTGGGTTTCCTCCAGGTACTCCGGTTTCCTCCCACACTCCAAAGACATGCTGCTAGGTTAATGGGCTCCTGTCTAAATTGTCCCTAGTGTGTGTATGTATGAATGTGAGTTAGGGACCTTAGATTGTACACCCCTTGAGGGTTAGGGACTGATGTGAATGTACAATATATATATGTGTAAAGCGCTGCATAAATGGATGGCACTATATACTTACCTGAAATAAATAAATAAATACTACAAAATAAAATGGGAGAAAAAACAAATAAACTATCCGTGATAAAAAAAATCAATTAAATTTAAAAGTGATCGACGCGTTTCGTCACTTCCGACTTACTCATAGGGGTCACGAGCGTGGAAGGCAAATATTTGTGGTGAGTTTACATCCATGTGGGGGATTTCTATGAAGCACTTGGTTGTCAGTCTATAACACACGGTGAAGGAGAAGAATTGATTTGATGGACTTTGGTTCACTTTATTATGTTTTTTCATCGACTTTGGATCACTTTTAATTTTGATGGATTTTTTTCATCACTTTTATCACGGAAAATTTATAGGTTTTCTCTCACATTTATTTTGTGGTATTCACTTCATATTTTATTTTTTTTTTTAGCTCCACTACAACACTATATGATTTGAGTGTTTATATTATTTTATTTATTGTGGTCTATATATAGTGGCAGCTGTTTCACATATAGATTACATCCAGCATGATATAATAGATGTTGATAATTGTCATGATCATATTATCACATTTATTTTGCTTTTGGTTCCACTAATTGCCCCCCACTACGCTCATCACCCTTTCTGTGCACCATACATTTGCTCCTGCTGCACAGCCCCCCCCCCCCCCCCCCCCCCCCCACAGTGCCGCCGGCTTCCCTCCTCTCCTTTGCAATGGCAGCTGCAAGCACACAATAGGAGCCTTCAGGATAGAACCATTGTCACATTTACCATCCTGAATGAACACAATGAGTGATCTGTACTGATCACTTACCGCGTTCATTCATAACTACAGCATGGTCAACTGTGTGGTTTTTTTGTGAGGGGGCCCTGTCAGGTTGGCTGTATGGGGCCCCCTGGTTTCAAACAGCAGCCCTGACTGTAAGCCACTGTGTTACTGACCTCACTGTGCTAAGTAGCAGAACTGTGTAAATTGTAGCACTCGATGGGCAGAAATACAAATCCTTTGTCAGGTTCGCTTATATGCATGTCTTGGAATTCCACTTTATTTGAACTAAAAGATTTTTGTAGGGTCCCAATTTTTCATTTTGACTTTTTGTCTAGGAATCCAGAAATCCCTTTGTCAAATGATAGGGAAATCAGTCTGTGTTGGGGGGAAGTTTTCCTTTGACCGTACTCCAAAGAATTATTGCATTTGAGGGTTTGTAGAACAGATATTCTCCGACATGATGATAAATCTTTGTTGGCCCAGTCACATTTCTTCAACATGGAAAAGTCCATTTATTTATTGCAGGCATTTATACAGCACTGACAATTTATGCTGGGCTTTACATACTGTACATTCTCATCAGTCCCTGCCCTCAAGGAGCTCAAAATTGAAGCTTCCCAGACCCATCATCTCACCTGCATACATATACATACTACGGCTAATTACATGGAGGAAACCCATGCAGGCACAAGGAGCACATGCAAACTCCATGCAGATATTGTCCTAGTTGAGATTCAGACCAAGGACCCCGATGCTGCAAAGCAGAAGTGCTAGCCACTATGCTACCATGCTGCTCGGAAGGATTTGCCATTGAGTTGGAGAATGTCTATGGTGATAGCCCATTGCATGGCCAAGACAATATTGGCCAATTCCTCCTTTTCCTACCGATTGTCTGGTCTATGTTGGTAGCTAAGAGTAGATTGGGTGTATTCTGACATCTGACATACTGCTTCATAGGGTGACATAAGATAGCCATGCACAGACAGATCTTTCAGCCAATAGTGGTCATGCATTATAATCCAATCATTCAAGCTGGGTTAAAACTGCATGCTAACGATCTTCATACACAGTTTCTTTTTTCCAAGTACAACATAAATATATAAAATACTAATTTTAAAATAAAATAATAACAATTAGCCAACTAAGTTTATGTAGCATGAAATATATATAAGAGGAACAAGGCAAACATATAGTATAAAGCCAAGGGCGGACTGACAACTCATGGGGCCCCCGGGCAATAGGGGATCATGGGGCCCCTGTGTCCTTGCCCAAACTCAAAAAAGCCTATGAAAAAGGTACCAGGGGCATGTCATGGGGCCCCCCACTGACCCCGGGCCCTCGGGCAGTGCCCAAGTTTCCAAATGGTCAGTCCGCCCCTGTATAAAGCAAGACCAACATACAGTATAATAAATAAAATAAAATTCAACAGTAAAACTATGAAAAAATATAAAATAACACACATGTACGAGGGGCGTTCAAGTCAAACTGGGACTTTTAATTTTACAGGTATAAAAAGGGATGTTAGTGTAGCGGTACTACATGCAGTAGTAAGTGGCGAGTGTGTCCTATTACTGATAGGTGGCGCACATGTCGCAGGCCAGTCCAGAGACCGGTAATCAAGATGGCACACAACAGTGTTAGTGCATGCATGGAACAGCATGTGGAGATAAAGTTTCTTGTGAACAAAACAAGGGCTGGATCTAGCCTATCTGATCTGGGGTGCAGTAAAAAAAAAGTCTGTGGGCATAATGTCAACACTGTGTGTGAGTCGAGGACAGACTGTCACAGTGTGTCACATCCAGGGAAACACTATTATGTATTAGGCTGTCATTAGAGTAGGGTGACTTAACAGAACCAGTGCCCACTTATATCAGATGTCCTCATCAGAATCCCCCTTTACATCAGGTTCCTATCAGAGTGCCCCCTTACATCAGGTATTCCCATCAGAGTCCTCCTTACATCAGGTGTTCCTATCAGAGTACTCCCTTACATCAGGTGTCCCCATCAGAGTGCCCCCTTACATCAGGTGTCCCCATCAGAGTCCTCCTTACATCAGGTGTTCCCATCAGAGTTTCTCTTTACATCAGGTGTTCCAATCAGAGTCCTCTTTACATCCGGTGTCCCCATCAGAGTACTCCCTTACATCAGGTGTTCCCATCAGAGTGCCCGCTTACATCAGATGTCCCCATCAGAGTGCCCCCTTATATCAGGTGTCCCCATCAGAGTCCTCCTTACATCAGGTGTTCCCATCAGAGTTCTCTTTACATCAGGTGTCCCCATCAGAGTACTCCCTTACACCAGATGTCCCCATCAGAGTGCCCCCTTACATCAGGTGTCCCCATCAGAGTTCTCTTTACATCAGGTGTCCCCATCAGAGTGCCCGCTTACATCAGGTGTCCCCATCAGAGTACTCCCTTACATCAGGTGTTCCCATCAGAGTGCCCGCTTACATCAGATGTCCCCATCAGAGTGCCCCCTTACATCAGATGTCCCCATCAGAGTCCTCCTTACATCAGGTGTTCCCATCAGAGTTCTCTTTACATCAGGTGTCCCCATCAGAGTACTCCCTTACATCAGATGTCCCCATCAGAGTGCCCCCTTACATCAGGTGTTCCCATCAGAGTGCCCGCTTACATCAGATGTCCCCATCAGAGTGCCCCCTTACATCAGGTGTCCCCATCAGAGTACTCCCTTACATCAGATGTCCCCATCAGAGTGCCCGCTTACATCAGGTGTCCCCATCAGAGTACTCCCTTATATCAGGTATTCCCATCAGAGTGCCCCCTTACATCAGGTGTTCCTTTCAGAGTCCTCCTTAAATCAGGTGTTCCCATAAGAGTCCTCCTTACATCAGGTGTCCCCATCAGAGAGCCCCCTTACATCAGGTGTTCCCATCAGAGTCCTCCTTACATCAGGTGTCCCCATCAGAGTGCCCCCTTACATCAGGTGTTCCCATCAGAGTCCTCCTTACATCAGCTGTTCCCATCAGAGTCCTCCTTACATTAGATGTCCCCATCAGAGTGCCCCCTTACATCAGGTGTCCCCATCAGGGTCCTCCTTACCTCAGTTGTCCGCATCAGAGTGCCCCCTTACATCAGATGTTCCCATCAGAGTGCCCCCTTACATCAGCTGTTTCCATCAGAGTCCTGCTTACATCAGCTGTTTCCATCAGAGTCCTCCTTACATCAGGTGCCCCCATCAGAGTGCCCCCTTACATCAGGTGTTCCCATCAGAGTCCTCCTTACATCAGGTGTTCCGATCAGAGTGCCCCCTTACATTAGGTGTTCCCATCAGAGTCCTCCTTACATCAGGTGTTCCCATCAGAGTGCCCCCTTACATTAGGTGTTCCCATCAGAGTCCTCCTTACATCAGTGTCCCTAATAGAGTAACCCCCCATTAGTGTTCCCTTGCATATGATCAGTTATCCCCATCAGAGTGCCCCCTTACATCAGCTGTCACCACCAGAGTGTCCACTTACATTAGGTATCCCTATAAGAATGACACCTTACATGGACTGTCCCCATCAGAGTGCCTCCTTATATTAATTATCTGCATCAGACTGGCTCATGGATCAGTGGATGCAATCTCAGAGACCGAGGGGGGGGGGGCAGAGCCCTCCCCAGCACCCCCCTAGATCCAGCCCTGCATAAAACCTGTGAATATCTGCAGGACTTCAAGCACAGTACGGTGATCAGCCGCTCAGCCACAGTAAGACATTTGAATTATGTAAATATTTCAATGATGGCCATACGTCCCTCAGTGATGATCCCAGCCGTGGTGGTTCCCAGCCCCCAGCAGTCATTCCTTTAAAAATTCAGTGCCTGGAACACCTGATCCTGGACAATCGACTCATAACCTGTCGTGAAATCGTGCAATGAGACATCTTTCTGTGGAAACGGTGACCACAATGATGACGGAGTGGAGCAGGCCGTCCTGATGGTTCAGGCGAACTGACAAATCTTTCTATGCTGAAGCTTTCTAGGCTTTAGGTAAACGCTGAGATAAGTGTATAAATGTAGCAGGGGAGTATGTCGAAAAATAAATGCAGTTTCCAGTCCTTGAAATTTGTTCTTTTATTGCACAAACTCAAAAGTCCCAGTTTGGCTTGAATGCCCCTCATATTGTATATTACTGTTTTTTTTTTTTTTTTGTGAAAAATAAAATGTGTATATATGTTATATGAAGTTTTGCGTATCTGTGTATTTGTAAAGAAGAGAGACTACACATGGCTGAAACATTATATTTTATTGTAGCGATCTATGGGAGTCACAAAAATTGCAACAACGGTTACTTCTCTGTGGCAAACCTGGAGTGGCTTCAACAGACATACATGGTAAAGTACTCACAGAGAATTGAAGGGGCGGCCATGGCTGGCCTCCTGAAAATGCTGGTTGCCTGGCTGTCTGGTTTTAGTACTTCCTAGTCACTGCCTCAGAACAAGCATGCAGCAAATAAAAGTAACAAAACATTATATTTCTAGATTAGCAATAGAAGATACTACTGAAGCTAAAGAGTCAGTAGGACAGCCAAAGAACCAGCATTTTCAGAAGAAGTCATTGTTGGATGCCTACATACAGTGTATTCACCAAATGCAATCAGCGCAACCTATACCAATAATATTAGTGTCAGGGGTGGACTGACCGTTTGGAAACTCGGGCACTGCCCGGGGTCAGTAGGGGGCCCCATGAGATGCCCCTGGTACCTTTTTCATAGGCTTTTTTGAGTTTGGGCAAGGACACAGGGGCCCCATGATCCTCTATTGCCCGGGGGCCCTATGAGTTGTCAGTCTGCCCCTGTTATTGACACCAATTCACAGCTATTAAGGACTGATTTGAGATATTTTTTCGCACTATGTAATTTTTGTAATAGTATGTATTTATATTGTTGCGCTCCACTATTTTTGTGGTATGGAAGCTGTGATACGCGGCTCACAATCATTGCAATGCAGCCTGGATTCATGGAAAAGCACCAGCCCAGCCATAGACTGTCTTCCAGATGAGATCCAACTTGGCACTCCCCCCCAAAGCATCCAAATGCATATGGGTCTCAAATGAACGGAGGGAATTATGTTCATATGATAGTCACACATTAATCTGGTCATTGTAAGACCATTTCTATTCTCCCCGCAAGGTCACACTGTACTTCTCATGGTCTGCCAGCTAAGCCAAAACCTTGGGCTGCCCATAAACAATAGAGGGCGGCTGGATGCCTTTATGGTGGCCATACATGCGTAGTTTTCTTGTCTTATCGATTTAATCAAAATGATGAAATCTGCAGACAATTGAATAGCCATAACTGCCCTTCTGATCAATTTAGTCACAATTTCAATACAATTCCAGCAAAAGACATTGATTATGGCAGAATAGTAGCTAAATGGTTAGCACTTCTGCCTGGTAGTACGAGGGTCATTGGTTCAAATCCCAACCATGGCACCTGCCTGGAGTTTGCACATTTTCCCTGTTCCTGCGTGGGTGTACTCCAGTTTCCTCCCACACTCCAAAGGCATGCTGGCAGGTCCCATGTATGAATGTGAGTTAGGGACCTTAGATTATATGCCCCTTGAGGGTTAGGGACTGATGTGAATGTACAATATATATGTAAAGCGCTGCGTATATTGACGGCGCTATATAAGTACCTCAAATAAAATAAATAAATCAGCCAGGGTGGAATATAATTGTTTTGTATCATGTAGCAACACTGCAATAGATAACTTACAATGTCTTTTTATATTTGAAAGTGTTCCTAAACCCAGGACCCTGCGTTCACTCTATCCGGTCTCCCAGGACCCTGCGTTCACTCTATCTGGTCTTTCCGGACCCTGCATTCACTATAATAGGTCTCCCCGGACCCTGCATTCACTACATCTGGTCTCCCCGGACCCTGCATTCACTATATCTGGTCTCCCAGGACCCTGCGTTCACTCTATCTGGTCTTTCCGGACCCTGCATTCACTATATTATAGGTCTCCCAGGACCCTGCGTTCACTCTATCCGGTCTCCCAGGACCCTGCGTTCACTCTATCTGGTCTCCCCGGACCCTGCATTCACTATAATAGGTCTCCCCGGACCCTGCATTCACTACATCTGGTCTCCCCGGACCCTGCATTCACTATATCTGGTCTCCCCGGACCCTGCATTCACTATATCTGGTCTCCCCGGACCCTGCATTCACTATATCCGGTCTCCCCGGACCCTGCATTCACTATATCGATCTCCCAGGACCCTGCATTCACTATATCCGGTCTCCCCGGACCCTGCATTCACTACATCTGGTCTCCCAGGACCCTGCATTCACTATATCTGGTCTCCCCGGACCCTACACTCACTATATCTGGTCTCCCCGGACCCTGCATTCACTATATCCGGTCTCCCCGGACCCTGCATTCACTATATCCGATCTCCCAGGACCCTGCATTCACTATATCCGGTCTCCCGGGGCCCTGCATTCACTATATCTGGTCTCCCCGGACCCTGCACTCACTACATCTGGTCTCTCCGGACCCTGCATTCACTATATCCGGTCTCCCCGGACCCTGCATTCACTATATCCGATCTCCCAGGACCCTGCATTCACTATATCTGGTCTCCCGGGGCCTGCATTCACTATATCTGGTCTCCCCGAACCCTGCATTCACTATATCCGGTCTCCCCGGACCCTGCATTCACTATATCCGGTCTCTCCCCAGACCCTGCATTCACTATATTTGGTCTCCCCGGACCCTGCATTCACTATATCCAGTCTCCCCGGACCCTGCATTCACTATATCCAGTCTCCCCGGACCCTGCATTCACTATATCCAGTATCCCTGGACCCTGCATTCACTATATCCGGTCTCTCCCCGGACCCTGCATTCACTACATCTGGTCTCCCAGGACCCTGCATTCACTATATCTGGTCTCCCCGGACCCTACACTCACTATATCTGGTCTCCCCGGACCCTGCATTCACTATATCCGGTCTCCCCGGACCCTGCATTCACTATATCCGATCTCCCAGGACCCTGCATTCACTATATCCGGTCTCCCGGGGCCCTGCATTCACTATATCTGGTCTCCCCGGACCCTGCACTCACTACATCTGGTCTCTCCAGACCCTGCATTCACTATATCCGGTCTCCCCGGACCCTGCATTCACTATATCCGATCTCCCAGGACCCTGCATTCACTATATCTGGTCTCCCGGGGCCCTGCATTCACTATATCTGGTCTCCCCGAAACCCTGCATTCACTATATCCGGTCTCCCCGGACCCTGCATTCACTATATCCGGTCTCCCCAGACCCTGCATTCACTATATTTGGTCTCCCCGGACCCTGCATTCACTATATCCAGTCTCCCCGGACCCTGCATTCACTATATCCAGTCTCCCCGGACCCTGCATTCACTATATCCAGTATCCCTGGACCCTTCATTCACTATATCTGATCTCCCCGGACCCTGCATTCACTATATCTGGTCTCCCCGGACCCTGCATTCTCTATATCTGGTCTCCTTGGAACCTGCATTCACTATATCTGGTCTCCCACAGTACACAGAATATGCAATTATTTTGGTAAATATAAACTGCTAAATACCTTTTCTTATCAGCAGGTAGAGCAGTCTTGTGACTTCTATCAGTGTCCAGCGGATCACTGGTTAAAGCTTGTAGGAGGAGTTTTCATTCTCCCCTGAGTGTCCTATGAGACTGTATAACCCCTGACCCTCTGTCTGGACAGTGCTGATTGACTCTGTGCTGATTAAATGCACCCTCCCAAAGAAAAAAAAAAACTTTTTAGCACTACACACTAAACTGAACATGTGCAACTTGCCCTCAAGCCTCTGTTCCATCAGGAGATGGATTGGGGACAGTAGAAGAAGAAGAGGATCAGAAGAGACAGGATCAAACATCCTTTTTAAACAATGCAGAGGATTAACCCCTTAGGTTCCACAGTGAGTATAACAAGCATGCTTTACTGCATATACAGACTGATTTTACTGTTGTGGGTTTAGTAACACTTTAACTGTTGATTGAACTGCACTTCCCATGTATGACAGATCGATCGGAAAAGAAATTTATCATCTAAGTGTATGGCTGGGGGGATGTTTTTAGAGAAACAGCACAAAGTGAATATATTGTACTCAGCACCACTGGGCTTTGTTCACACCGGAGTATTAGTGCACATCCATTCTAGGAGCGGATTTACGAGCCCAGGGATGCATAGGTGTTCTGTGCTTCCCTGTGCAGGCAGTCCCATCCCTGTTAATTGGGACACAGCAGCCATACGGACACAAGCGCTGCTCCCAGTTTGACATCTGTGTGGGTGCATGGCCTGAGTGCACACTGTCTGCATTCGGTGTCCATGCAGCCGCTGCATCCCAACAGACATGAATGGGACTGTCTGCACGAGGATGCATGGAACACCTCTACATATGTGTCCTGGAGAATGGAGAACAGGAGGGATTTCAGTCTATCTTTGCATGTGTCTGAATGCTGATATGTAGCCAGGGGCGGAATGACCATTTGTAAACTTGGGCACTGCCCGAGGGCCCGGGGGCCCCATGAGTTGTCAGTCCGCCCCTGGTCCTAACATAAGTGATGATTGCATCTCTGTGTTGTTTTGCAGTGCGATTTGGAAATACGATCTATCCCATTTTTTTCTATTCTACAGAGTAGTGATGTACACAGAAGTCTATGGCAACGCATGGAAGCATATAATTTGTGCATTTTGATGCCCTATCAAGCTGACTGCAGACTGGCAAATTCTTAATATAACCTCTTATGACTGCCCACCCAGAATGTACTGCGGATGGGCAGCTGCTGTAGGCAAAGGGATGATCCCTGAGGAAGTCACGTGATTTGTGACGCAACGCGTCGGAATGGCATAGGGAGTGTGGTGACGTCATATCCGGCGTGGACGCCATATTGGTACACCCATACGTGTACACCCAACAAAACCACGTGGTTTAAATTCTATTGATTTTTGTATTACATGTGAGTGGGCATTCTGGCTATACATTTTAATATTAAAAGCGTTGAACTTATTACACTATGGGAGAATCTTTTTGTCTTTCCACATATGGGTTGCTATGAGATGGCTGTAAAGGAAGACTGGAAGACAGGAGTTTCATTGGTGAACAGGGGGCTACCATTACCATTGCTGAAACCCGGTTAAAGATCAGAGGCATCTTTAAGGGGCATTTTTTCTTCTATCGTATTGGCCCTGTGGGGTCTATGTGTTGAAGTGAGGTGGTAATCCAGATGGTGACGGATTAATTTCCTGAGACCACCTGCATCTGAAGTTGTTACCTGCACTTGTTCCACAATTATAGGACTTATTCTTTACGTGGACTTTCCCTGCGGTCATTGTCACTATTGTTCAGGGGCGGACTGACCATTTGGAAACTCGGGCACTGCCCGAGGGCCCGGGGTCAGTAGGGGCCCCATGAGATGCCCTGGTACCTTTTTCATAGGCTTTTTTGAGTTTTGGCAAACGGCCCCATGATCCCCTATTGCCTGGGGGCCCCATGAGTTGTCAGTCTGCCCCTGCTATTGTTACTGCATGTTTTGAGATTGGGGGTTTGTGGGGGTCATATTTACACATCTTGGACACAAGGTGCTTTTGTTAAGTGTTGTTGTATGGCAGACCCCTTACTGTTATCTCACATATATATTCTTATTATTATAGCCAAATTTACCACCCTAACTCCTCCCACAGTTTTTACATTACATAGACAGTAATATACCGAAACGTGCGGATTGTTCCCGATTGGTGTGCTATTACTTTGCGGAACATTTCGCCGAATGGTTCACGAAGTATCAGCGTTTTTGTGGTGAAATTGGTCCCATAGGAATGAATGGCGGAATGTTCAAAACTAGAGTGGGAGCTGACAAAAGCAAGAGTGTGAGCTGAAAAATCAGGACATGATTTGTAAACTGCCATCACTCCCTCATTTTCAAGGCCACCTACACAAATCTTATATCAAAACGTTCAGCTATCCCTGCTGACACTATAAAATGTCCACGGCTAAGCCATAGTCCTGATAGTTTTCACAATATGACCATTTGTTTGCAAGTCACGCCACCCATTGACATTCATTAAAACTGCACTCTAGCCACCTCAAATTTGAAGGGCAATTTCTAAACTGCGACCACTCCAGTTGTAGACTACTGGTGGAGGCAAGAACACTTCACACAATTTCCCCAGAAATTGTAGCTTTTCTAGTTTGTTTCTATTACTGACCTTTTCCCTTGGTCAGCACTCTTCCCGATTGGTTCTCATTTTTAATTTTCATTAGTCTTTATTAGATGTCACTTTCATACATCTGGGAGCTCATTTACACTTTATGATATTTAGGGAGCTTTTTTTCCACTTTTCCATTTAACACTTTATCACACTGACCATTTTTTTTTTGGCTAGTCTGTGGCTTTGTTTCTTTCTTTTTTTCTCTTTGGGTTCTTCAGTTTATATTATTACATATGTGTGGTTCAATGTTTTCACTTATTTATCATTATTGAGTTACACTGTTTATTATGATTTATATATCCAAATATCACCCAAACCGTCCTCTCCGCTCTTCGCAAGACCTCCTGCTCTCTAGCTCCCTTGTCTCCTCCTCCCATGCTCATCTCCAGGACTTTCCCAGAGCTTCCCCCATCCTCTGGAACTCTCTACCCCAATTTATCAGACTATTGCCAACTCTGCTCACTTTTAGGTGATCTCTGAAAACCTATCTCTTCAGGGAAGCCTATCCTGCCCTCAGCTAATACTGGAATCTTCTACTCTTCCAACCAGTCCATCCCCCACAGTTACTACCTTTTGTACCACTAGCCCCTCCCTCCTAGATTGTAAGCTCCAAGGAGCAGTGCCCTCCTTTCCCTCTTGTATTGAACTGTATTGTTGCTGTATTGTCTCCTGTTATATTGTAAAGCACTGAGCAAACTGTTGGCACTATATAAATCCTGTATAATAATAATAATATATGTATGAAGTCATAGAATCTCGGGGATAGCACTACACCATTTTTGTTTTGCATGTACGGGTACGTTGCTGTCTACTGAGTTTTGGGCCATGGCTTTAAACAAAAGTACACATCTGGTTGAAGTATATCCTTACTGCAAATGTATATGGAAAACCAGTAGATACAAAGAGTATAGGAGAAAAATCGAAATAGGTAAAATGATTACTGACCTACAGTATATGCTGGTGAGCCCTTATGTTGAGCGAATGTTAAGTGTTGGGTAATGCTAGCACAGGATGATTTATATGGCAAAATTTGTGTGTCCATTTCAGGAGCGTGTAAGCCAGGAGAAATCAGGCACACCTGTATGCAAGATGAAATGCCATATTTGTTGGGAATATACATGAAGGCATATAAAAAGCTTGAGATAAATAAAAGTCACAAAGGAGAATAGCTAGAGAAAGAGATTGAAATGTAGAGTGAGGTAGTGGGGGAAGGGAATGAGAGGAGAAAAAAAAAGGGGGGGGGGGGGAATGGGTAGGGAGTAAAGGGGATGTTAAGGTTGGACAATTATGGATAAAATATTTCACATCATTTGGTACGAGCCAAAAAAAATAGTCTTGATTTTTTTTCTGCCTCTAAATGTTCCAGCCTAAAGAACTGTACACAACTATGTGAGTATTGACATATAGACGAAATGGAGGATCGACTAGAAGCTCAGTACAGAGTTTGTTTTTTTTTCATTGATCTAAAATGCAGCCCATTATTTACAATGTGGCTGTACACACAGGTGCGTAAACAAGTGCTGCGTATTCTTGAGTAAAAAAAAAGAAAAAATCTGCTGTCCTGGTCAGTATTTTGTGCCGGGACATGCATATGTGTGCCAAGACGAGAAAATGTATGCAAGTATGTGCATAAATATTAATGGATTTTGTATAGCAGTGCATTGTACATGTGAATGCGCATACGAGCAAATACATGCAAAACAAAAATCTAAAATTACGTCCAGAAATGCTGATGCTCAAACATCAGTACCGTGTGCAAAAGGCCTTAAACAGATATTTTTAGCTGCAGTGTGCATGAGACTTCCACGAGTGGTTACAGGCAATCAGAGCCTCAAACTGAGGCTGGACACAGATAGTTCGGTCCAGGGGTGGACTGACCATTTGGAAACTCGGGCAGTGCCCGAGGGCCCGGGGTCAGTAGGGGCCCCATGAGATGCCCCTGGTACCTTTTTCATAAGCTTTTTTGAGTTTGGGCAAGGACACAGGGGCCCCATGATCCCCTATTGCCCGGGGGCCCTATGAGTTGTCAGTCCGCCCCTGGTTCGGTCACTGGCTCTGGCCACTTACGGCTAAGTGCCAGTGTCTATGGACCCATAGTATAGAGTGGGGTAGCCAGGGCTGCTGTTAGAAACCACTGGGCCCCATACAGCCAACC